TAATAGATCTAACCTTTGTTTTCGAGAAAGTAGCCTCAGAGTCAACACTCATAGACTGTGTCTGAAATCACACCCTACACCCTCATTTACTAGTTCCTAAATTAGTTCACTTTATAGTCCACTAGACAGAGTGATTGAAAACAAATGAGTGAATTCAGACACTGATGAACAGCTGCTGTTAACAAGCACAATAACTGAAGGAAAGAACAAGAAACAAAACTACAACTGACTTCCAGCCACAGCCTTAGATGAAATGAACCGAAATAAAATAGCAGAGGAGCATTAAACAACTTCACAAACAGCATTACCAGCTTCACTCATTACTAACCAGTTTGACTTTATTTCTGTCATATATCTACAAAAATTCTTTGAGAATTAACAGTTTATATTGTATTAAAAATGTTTGTTTGACCTCACCATTTTGGCGATCAGTGGTTGCTTTAGTTGGACTCTTTAATGTTAGTTTTTCTTTGCTGATGTAACTGTGTTTGTAAAGCACGTCTGTTATGATAAGAAAAGCAGAGAGAAACTGTAATGAAGTGGTTTTGATAACTGTTAACGATGATGTCATGTCATGAACTGATTCACTGATCTCAATTAGTGCCTAATTATATGGGTCAATGATTTTTTTGTTTGTTTTTTTTGTTAATTAGTAATATGACTCTACAAGATAAGCTGACAAACTATTGTGAAAAAATTGAAGAACATTTTATTTATAAAATCTCTAGAGCTACAGCACCATTTAGACACACACAGAGATCAAGAATCAGCACATGAATCTCAACAATGGTGACTACTAATAAAAATAAATAAAAATCATGCCGCAATGCATGCTGGGTGCCAGTACAAAACTCCCAGCATGCACTGCAGCATGACTTTTTTTTTTTGATTGTCACCAATGTTGAGATTCATAGGCTGACTGTTGATGTCTGTGTGTGTGTTTAAGGTCTGCCATAGTTCAAAGCTTTTATTTGTGCATATTGTGCGTTCAATGGTGCAACTCAAGAGTATTAGTAATAAGCCGCACCCTTAATAAGAGATTAAACATTAGGTGAGATCAGTGAATCAGATTAGTTCATGATGGTCTTGACATCACAAACACCAGTTTTATCTGATTGTAGATTTTTTTTGGTTTTTCTTGCTATAAACACTGTTCAATAAACACAGCTAATTAAAGCAACCAAAGAAAAAACACTGTTAGAAAGTCAAGGTTCAAGAGCCCTACTAAAGCAAACACCGATCGCCATTATGGTGACTTCAAATTAAAGTACAACTCCTAAAATCTCAATAAGAGCTTTTGTACACATATGACAGAAATAAAGTCACACTGGTTAGTAATAAGTGAAGCTGGTGATGCTGTTTGTGGAGCTTTTTAATCCTCCTCTGCTGAGATCTTGATAAATTTAATGTGTTTTATTTTCAGTTGATTTCCTTTTTGGCTTTGGCTGTAAGTTGTGTTTCTCTTCTCTTGTTTCTCTTTCCTTCAGTTATTCTGCTTGTGTTCATCACTAATGCTCAATCCTCATTTAATTATCTCATTAACTTCATCACTGCTTCAGTGTATCTTCAACACTCTGTAGTGTGGACACATATAAGTGCTCTTTAAAACTGAGGATTTTGCTGTGGTATAAAGGGGTTAAATGTGTGAGATGAAAAAAAACACTGTGAAATGTATTTTTAACAGAAAGATACTGTTAATTTAATTTACGGATGCAAACGGTAAAAAAACAGTAGATTACTGGCAACCACAGCTGCCGGGTTGTGTTTTGTGGGTCACCATTGTGCTGGAGAGTAGAGCCTGTGTTTAAAGTAAAGGACGGACAGAGAAACATTGACGTTATACTGCTTGTTGTTTTATTTAAAAGCAGTAATTGTGTAGTTATTGATGCAGTGTGAATCTCTTTGATAATTTCAATTACACATAAATGTGTGTTGCTGTTATTTGCAAGAAATTTGAGTTGAATTGATGCTTTTAACGACTGCATAAATCAGTAGGTTTTTCTTAATGGACTTAAGCAAAATAGTTCTCAATGCCAATATGCTCACATTGCTTAAACACTATAAATATTAATTTATAAATAAATGCCAATTTAAGTGCGTTTGTTTTCTGCAAATAAAATGAGTTAACTCAAAGGTTTGCATATTAACATTGTATCAGTTAACGAAATATGGGTTTTCACTGTAAATTTAGACAGTTCTGTAAAACCTAAAATGTTGCTACCGTATTTTTCACGGTAAAGTTCTGGCAACCACAGCTGCCGCTATTTTACCGTAAATTTAACAGTTTTTTTTTTTACAGTGTACAATTTCCCTATAATTCCCCTGGTCTACTTTCCCTAATTGTAAATATAAATTTAATCCAACTAATTTCCAACATTATATTCCTGCTTATCTTCCTCAACTTTCAACTAAACTCATAATATACAGGGATAGCTGCCGATGCCTGATCACACAATGACTTACTGGTTGAAGCTAAAAGTAATGAGCAAAAATCATGTGGCGATGAACAACACTGAGCCTACACTGCCAGCTATTATTTTTGTAGCATCTCATCTTGATGCTCACTCTCAGTGGCCACTTGGATCTGGTCTCTAAAAAGTACTTACATTCTTGAGATATTGACCATATTTGCAAAGGCATCTTGGGGAACTGTCGTCAGGCTTGTCTCGTAGAGACTTCTAGAATTCAAAAGATCATCACAAATACATATAAACTTGTCTGATAATTACAACTTATTTATATTAACATATTAAACAATGTTGCACATGGAATTTCAAAGAACATCATTAACAATATACAATATGTTACAATATTCCTTATTAGTAATAACGCAAAAATAGACTAAAGCAATAAGCACCAAAAAGGCACGACGCGAAGCAGTTTACCCCCTTAGCTGTTATAAATTCACTGTAAACCACGGCTTCACGGGGCTTATTGCTTTTATAAAATGGTTATTCCATTTACGTAGTAAGGTTTCACAAAATAAAACAGAGCAAATAAAGTGTAATGATATTAATAAAAACATTATTCTTCAGCCAAACAATGTAGTTCCTCAGAAACAGTCGTGGTTCCAACAAAGTGGTTGCCGAGCAACACACAGAAGTAAACAAAGGTGTGTTTGTAGTGTAATTTACAACAGCTTCGAACTTGGCTCAACCAATCAGAATCAAGGACCGGAACTATCCGTTTTATAATATTCAACAAGTTCTACTTGCAAAATAAACCATTCATTGTCATGTATTAAGAATTGTATGTCAGATTAGGAACTGACAGATATCTTGAGAATTAAGGGCTATTCATACTATTCCCCACATCACAAATCTAATTCCTGTATAGATTTTTTTCTCTGACATATAATTGTATAACACCAAATCATTAACCCAGTTATGCCGGCAATTACAATTTTTGACAATTTTCTTGTAGAGCACCACCTAGATGCCAATTTAATATTTTATTGCTCAATGACATATGACACATTTTCCTAAAAATTTTTTTAAAAGGAATGGACATTCTTTGTTAGAGTAATATCACTGAAGGGATATCTGCATCGGTGGGAAATGGCAAGATCTCTTATAAGGGGAAAAAATCATTTCATTTTGTTCATATAAAAAGAAAAAAAGCAGTCAGCAATTGAGAAAAAAAATGTTACAGGAAGAGGTGAAGAGACTGGGCCATCTGGACTCTCAGGGGCCTACAGATTTAATCATTAATAAACTCCACAGAACTAAAGAAGAACTGAGTAATTTAATGAACCAAAAAAACTGAGCGAATACCCCTTAAACTCAGACAACAAATCAAATTTGGAGGGGGAAAAAAAAGGCAAATACAGTACTTGGCAATCCAACTATAGCAGCAGAAACAGAAAAAAAAAAAATCTTTACATCTAATATGGACTCAGAATCATCCTAAAATAAATGATTTAGGTCATATTACTCAAAACTCAATACTACAAACCAGAATGCATTATTGGAAGTAGTAAAATCTTTTTTGATGGGTGTCTCCTTACCGCAAGTATTGCAAATGCAATCAGAAAAATGTGAAAAATCTTTATCCATACAGGAAGTTATCAAATTACTTAAACACCAAATAACAAGATCACTTGGTCTCCCAGACAATTTTGGACATTGCTTTTGTCCCTATTCTTCAAATTTATTTGTGAAATTTATGAAACAGGAACTATACCCTATATGAATACCGCCTACATTTGTCTCATCCCAAAACCAAACCAAAAAAGTCTCTTAAAAATTGCTTACACTCTAAAAGTTGTACTTGAGGCACACTCAGTGAAACAATTCACTCATATACTGAAACTTCAAAGACTGCAAAACTGCAAGCACATTATCTTTTTTACACTCAGTTTGCAATTGAAAAATCATACTTTTGCAAATCGCTAAACACAGTTCTCTACATTAGACACGATATTCAAAACTATTTTGTTAAATTTTGAAAACACTGCTATTTTACAGGTTTTTTTTAAACTGCTTGCACACTAAAAGTTGAACTAGAGGCACACTGTCACAAAACTGCACTGGGACACGAAGATCTTATGGAGATACACTAAATACACTGGGTTCGTGACCCCCTCAGTGTGGGGCACGCTGGAGTCCATGGCCGACCAAGCTCCTTGGCCACCGGAGTTTGCTGCCTACTGTGAAAGAGGAACCACTCAGCATTAAAGCATAATTCAGAAACTCACTGAACGACCCTCGAGTAGCATCACGGATTAGCTTGTTCTTGAGCAGAATGTTAAGCCCAGACAGACTAACTAAACTGCTGGATCCACAGTGGCGAAGTCTTTTGTCACAAAACTGCACAGGGACACGAAGGCTGAGGATCCAAGTGCAGTAGCTTATTAGAGGGATAATACACAATCGTAGTCAAAACAGGCATGAGGTCAAACATAATAAACAGTTCAAACAACGACAGAGTTCAGGGCTGAGGCAAACAGAGTAATCCAGATAAACAGGCAGAATATCAAGAACCAGGAAAACAAGACACTAGTGATGTTACGTATGACACTGAAGCTTCGATACGCGCATGTGACACAATTTCTATTGAAGCCCCGTATCGGGGCGTGTTTTGGTTTCCCAGAGTCACGTGATCTACTACAAATGAAGCCTCACTTTCTGTCCAATCACGTGCGCGTTTCGCTTTGTGTGTCAGAAGGTTTGAACCCCAGATCTTACTTAAGGCCCCAATATACTTCAAACGAAGTTCTTTTTCGTTCTTCGTTTGAGGGCAAAAAGAAGTTCGAAAGGCTAAGCGACGGTATACTGTTTTCTAACATTCCGACACCGCGCTGCTGAAGGCGGGGTTGTAAACATGTGTCACGCCACCCGCGGGTACCCCCTAAACACAACAACGATGGCGGCTGTGAGAGAAGAACAGTTTCGTAAACATCTGGCAGTAGCATTGATCTATTCAATGGCAAAGAAAAAGAACAAGAACAAATGAGGTGGTATGTGCGTCCACTTATCGAAAACAGAAAGAATGGTGAGTTTGCCCTTTTTATTCAGCACAGATGAGAAAGTGCATTTTTCATACTTTAGAATGTGCGCCGCGTGGATTGACGATCTCTTGAAAAGGGTATCACCTTATGTGAAACATGCAAAAACGCACAGGACACAGATTTCCACTACGGAGAGACTGGCCTTGACACTCCGAGTACTAGCTTGTGGGGCCACGCAACAAAGTGTGGCTGAAACATTCAAGATTGGACCATGTACAGCCCGCAAGATAGTCGCGGAGATGTGTTCTCCTGTCTGACGAACCGGGGGAAAAAAAAAAATCGCATGTCAAAGAAGGCGGAGTTCCAGAACACACCCACCGACTGAGGGACACGAAGGCTGAGGATCCAAGTGCAGTAGCTTATTAGAGGGATAATACACAATCGTAGTCAAAACAGGCATGAGGTCAAACATAATAAACAGTTCAAACAACGACAGAGTTCAGGGCTGAGGCAAACAGAGTAATCCAGATAAACAGGCAGAATATCAAGAACCAGGAAAACAAGACACTAGTGATGTTACGTATGACACTGAAGCTTCGATACGCGCATGTGACACAATTTCTATTGAAGCCCCGTATCGGGGCGTGTTTTGGTTTCCCAGAGTCACGTGATCTACTACAAATGAAGCCTCACTTTCTGTCCAATCACGTGCGCGTTTCGCTTTGTGTGTCAGAAGGTTTGAACCCCAGATCTTACTTAAGGCCCCAATATACTTCAAACGAAGTTCTTTTTCGTTCTTCGTTTGAGGGCAAAAAGAAGTTCGAAAGGCTAAGCGACGGTATACTGTTTTCTAACATTCCGACACCGCGCTGCTGAAGGCGGGGTTGTAAACATGTGTCACGCCACCCGCGGGTACCCCCTAAACACAACAACGATGGCGGCTGTGAGAGAAGAACAGTTTCGTAAACATCTGGCAGTAGCATTGATCTATTCAGTGGCAAAGAAAAAGAACAAGAACAAATGAGGTGGTATGTGCGTCCACTTATCGAAAACAGAAAGAATGGTGAGTTTGCCCTTTTTATTCAGCACAGATGAGAAAGTGCATTTTTCATACTTCAGAATGTGCGCCGCAAGGTTTGACGATCTCTTGAAAAGGGTATCGCCATATGTGAAACATGCAAAAACGCACAGGACACAGATTTCCACTACGGAGAGACTGGCCTTGACACTCCGAGTACTAGCGAGTGGGGCCACGCAACAAAGTGTGGCTGAAACATTCAAGATTGGACCATGTACAGCCCGCAAGATAGTCGCGGAGATGTGTTCTCCTGTCTGACGAACCGGGGGAAAAAAAAAAATCGCATGTCAAAGAAGGCGGAGTTCCAGAACACACCCACCGACTGTGTAATCACCACGGACCAATGGTAGCTCAAAGGTGTTTAGGAGCCAAAACGAACTCAAAACGAACTTCGTTTCGGCGTGATTTTGTTCGAAATGACGTCATTTCAGTTCGTTCTTCGATTTAGTTTGAAGTATATTGGGGCCTTTAATGAGTCCTCGTTGGCTCAGTCTGGTTGATGGGTTTGTGAGGAGAGTGCTGTACTTTGAAAGTTAATCAATACATTACATTTAAATAACCAAAATGTATTTGTTACTACTTATTCTTTTTTTGTGTGTGTGTGTGTGTATGTGTCTTTTTTGTCTTTGTAAAATCTTTGCACTTTTGGTGTTTTTTTTTAAGGTAGTTTGGTGTTGGTATTTGGGGTTAGGGTGGGATTAGGGGAGAGGGGATTAGGGTTGGTGTTTGGTGAAGGGTTTGTGTTTAGAGCAATGGCAACAGCCAAAAAAGAAAGACTTCCCCTGTTTGGGAATATTTTGAGCTTATAGTTTCCAATGTATGTATGCTTTAAAAAAAATAAATAAAAAAATCACAGTTTTTGCCATGTCTTTGCTTTAACTCATTTTATTCTTGTATGTAATTTTTTAATTTCATATAACTTTATTCAGAAGGTGAGATGCTTGGTGTGTGACAAGGAGCTTGTGTATAGAATAAGCACACCATGCTAAGCCATTTCAGAGCTTTACATGAGACTGCACAGCCCCAGAACAATCCTACAAGCACACAAAGTAGGACCGTTGCTTCATGATTTTTATGCATAATTGTGACTGCATTATCATGATTTCAATTAATATATGTATATTATATATAACTTCTTTCATTATAGCATC